CACAAGAGTGCGGCATAATTTACGTAAAACCAACTAAATCCATGAGTTTCTAATTACTTGTATAACCATCAACTTGGAAAAAAAAAAAAAAGATCGTTTGATACATCGATACAAATGAGATAAGATAACCCATTCGATCAAATAATTATTTAATCTTTACATAAAAAAAAGAGTTATGATCTTTCACTACAAGTTCTTCGTTACATCAAAAGTACTAGAAAATTAGGATCCCACTACAAAATCAGCATCGTTTCATACAGTTTGTAGGCAAAGATCCAAATGTCGTACAAGCAGATAAACATAAAGATATTGAGATTGTGTTTTGGGGTCCGACATGCAATAACTCATCATTGATTTCACGATAGCAAGTTATGGTTCACATCAAAGGACGAAATGGACATTCTATCACTTTCATCTAGAATGGAGGAATCACAACAGGAAATGCCAAGTCATGAAAAATATAGTAGAAAATATTTTCTTTGGAGTCGATTGGAGATTCAGGAAGACTGATGCAAGATTTCGAGTCTAAATAGCACTCGTTGGAGTGTCCCTTCCAAAAGAAGATTTAAAACATGCAAAATTAGAAGATTATTTCTATTATAGAATGGAAATATCGTGGAGCTCAGTGGTACATCAAATTTGTGTGCTCATCGTCCTAGTGTTGATAGAGGATCATTCACTCTCGGTGTCATGAGAGGAATATCTCATGTGTTCTTGCTCAAGCAAATCCGTGGTCAAGATCATTCAGATTAAAAGAGAAAAAAATTTTCGGGAGAATTCGATTAGAGTGAGACTCGAGTAGAAACCATATAAGCTTAACAACACCATACATAGTATACGGTCTTTAGAAAATTAGATAGATGAGAGATTATAGATACATGGTAACTAAGGATAGATATGTCTAAAGGATTGTATTCCCCTGTATTATTTGGGGACTGCGGCATATTGGCATAGTACGTTTGTAGTCGATAAATCGAGTGAATTATTATGAAAATAATAATTCACTGAGCTAGAATGAGTTCTAATATGTATGACTCATGGCTAGCTTAATATTGAGCTTAGAGGGTCACACACATATGGTATGTGTTACAACGAATAGAGATTCAGATAAGAGATATTTGCCCTATATCCTATTGGATATCCAATAAGCTCCTGAATGATTGGATCTTGTGGATAAGATCCAATAAGAGTTAATGAGAGATTAGTGGATAGAGATCTTGTTGGAAAATCTGGGGTGACATCACATGCACAGCGAAAGAATAGAAAATAAAATCCTAGAATTTTACATGGAAAATAAGGTTTCATCATCGTGCAAAGATTGGTGCGCAAAAACCCGCGAAACAGAAAACTGCACATATAAGAAAGATGTGTTACCTAAAGAGATTGTATATTTCTAAAAACTTACAGATCTGTGGGAGAGGATGAAAGAGGTTAACTATCGTCCTCTCTGGCGATGATCCACATGACAGGGGTTGCCAAAACGCTCAACAAATCGTTGTCCAAATCTCTTCCTCGAGTGCACCACGTAATCAATAAGTGGTTGCCCCTTATTTATTGTACACACGCTCCAAATAGGGGCTATAGTATGAGGAGGAGAGAGAGAGAAGAGAATAAGAGGCGACGGCTAAAAAGAACCCAACCTATGGCTCTTTGGTTCCCTCATATTTATAGAGGCCCCTTGTCAACTTAACTCTAATAGATCTTATCATATTGGGTACTAGATCTTCATCCAACTACTCAAACCTCTTAGATTAGTAGGTCACTACCCAATAATCTCTTATTGGCTCTAATTAGATCTCATCCATAAGATCCAATAATTCAGGGGCTTAAGGGATATCCAATAAAATAGGGACTCTCGAGGATATCTCATAACTGAACCTATACTTGTCTCAATGCCTACCATATGTGTGTAACCCTCTAGGCCCAATATCGAGTTAGCCGTGAGTTATACCTATCAGAACTCCTTTTGGCTCAGTGAATAATTCACTCGACTCATCGACTATAGATGTATTAGGTCACTACGTCACAACCCTCAAATGATACGGGAGAATCCAATCCTTTGGATCTATCTGTCTTCAGTTATCGTATATCTATAGTCCCTCAACTATTTAATACCTCAGAGACCGTATACTAGGTATGGTACTATCAGGTTCATACAGTTTCTACTTGAGTCTCACTCTAATCGGATTCTCCTTGAGAACTCTTTCTTTCTTAATCCGAATGACCCTAGCCAAGAAATTGTTTGAGCAAGAATACATAGGATATTCCTCTTATGACAATAAAAGTAGATGATCCTCTATCGATACTTAATAACCCTCGTAAGGTTGGCTATCACTCTTAAGAACCAGTTGTACAAGATCTGAAACTTCTAGACCTATAAGTCTGGTATCAAAGATGAAGTACTCATACAAGACATCTTTGATGTCTCAATTTTAAGGACCAGATGCACCATTGTGACGATAAAATCACTGTTTAACAATAAGGCATCATTAACTATCCAGCATTCTATGAGCAGATCAATCAGTGAATTCATTATCTAATGAGCACCTACACTGTATCCTAGTATCCCCATATGAGCAGCTATGAGACTAGTTGTCTCCATCATATGGACGAGTATATAGTACACTAGTCTATCCGGTTATCTCTATGTCCCTCTCAAGTAACCTATGACCAGGATTATTAAGGTTTGTGTTTAAAAGTGATCCGTCGCATTATCGTGATCTTATCACGATTTCTATTATATAAATACATGGACATCATAATATATTCATGCAATAAATAATATAAAGTGATAAAATACCAAATAATATAATAAGCAAAAAGAGTGTGTGTCATGTCACACGTGTCATCACTCACATGATTAGCTTGCAGGGCACCTATGACTAGTAGATCCATTAATCTAAGAGGCTTGAGTAGTTAGATAGAGATCCAGTACCCAATATGACAAGATCCATTAGGGTTAAGTTGATTTGGGACATCTATAAATATGAGAGAACTAAAGGGTCATATGCTAAGCTTTATTAGTTGTCACCTTATATTCTTCTCTCCCCTTCTCCTCAGCTAGTAGGTGTGGAGATTTGAGCAACGATTTGAGGAGCGTCTTCATAGCTTGTGGGTATGCTCTGTTCGGGTAGGCCTCTCGGGTTCATTGTTTGCTCTCGGGCTTCTTCCGTCCCGAGTTGCTCCCCGCTTGGCCTTTGCTATGTCAGGTCGGTTGGGGGAGTTGCGAGTTACACAATCTGTGGCATGAGCGGGACGATTATTTGCATCATTCCCATCAAAGCCTGTACTTGCTTGGCCAGGCCGAGGAACGCCTTGGGTGTAACAACCATGGGTCTTATGGTGTGTCCGGGGGGAGAAAACCTCGGGTCGTTGAACAGGCACTAGTAGCGATCTATCGTCGAGGCTAGGATCCCCCCGTCTCTATGGATGGGGAGGGGCTAATCTCCGAGCTTGGTGGAAGGGCGATCGATCGGCGGTTCTCCCTCAGGGAGAGCTCTTGCGTGATGCTCCTGCGACATGGCTCTCCTTCTAGGGCCAAAAATGCTGGTGAACTGATGCGCTGTGGCTGATGAGTCATCACGGCCTAGTCCACGGGTCAGTGTCAAGAGTCTTTGGATGGCTGAGCTGGTTGCTGAGGTTGGTTGAGCCCTCAGGACAGGGAGTTGGCGTCAGAATGTTGATTGGCATCTCTTGGTCGGGACGGTCGCTCCTCGGGGTGTTCGCTCTCCAGGACAAAAGGCCCTGGGTGATGTGGGGATGTCGGTGCCACTTGGGAAGAGACGTCGCTCGATCGGGATGGTCGCGCCTCGTGGGTGGCCACTTCCCTGCACAAAAGACCCTCGTCGGGTTGTTACCGACTATGGCCCCTTGACAAGTAAGTCAGTGTGAGGTTCTCTCTTTTTTTGTCCTCCCCCTTACCAGATGCCGACCAGGGGTTTTTATACTACTGTATGAGGGTTGGTCGTATGCAGGTTTTTGGCGTGGCAGTTGGTACTCGAGGGGTGAGGATGTGCCTTGACGAGGTGTCAGCCCAGGACGCGCGGAACGACGCCATGCGGCGTCGTCTCGAGCTTTCTAAGATAGGATGTACCGGGGAATGCCTCGGTACAGATCCTAGCTTAACTGGTGGGAGTGCTCTGCTTACTGACTTGACCGTTGCATGACGTGGTGTTGGTGGTGACGTGACCAGGGCCCAAACTATCACCGTTAGAGAGAAGGATAGTTGACCTCCTTCATCATTTTCCATAAATATGTAGGAATTCAGGGATATACGATCTCCCTACGTAACACAATCTCTTTTGTACGTGCGATTTTCGATTTTACGGGTTTTTACACGCCAAGCTTCGCAAGATGACGAACACCTTTTAGAAAATTTGAAATTTTTATTTTCTGTTCTTGTACTGCACATATGATGTCGCCCTTAGATTTCCCTATGGTAGTGTCATATTGACACTTATACATAGGAACTTTTGGAGATGATATATTAGCTTGGATTCCTTGTTACAAGATCATTTGTAGCTTACAAAATTCATCTTTGTATTATGAATTGTCCATCAAATATTTTTTAAGATATCTATTTATGGGATCTTGAGTTTAATATTTCTATTAATTTATTTTTTTATAAATTCTTAAAAGATTCTAGAACATTAATCCCTTTGAATCAATATACAAAAGTGACATACGACCTAGAAAAAATTAAATAAAATTAAATATAAATATATATATTTATGAATAATAAAATAAAATTTTGTATTATTTAATCATATCCTACAGATCTACGATCTGCACCATCGAACCAAAAAAAAGGGGCATATCTCTCCAACGTAGCCGAAGTATTGAACTCTCAAGTCTCCCCAACACGTTTCCATGTGTCGACCGCCACGCCATATCCTTATCCGCTCCTCTTTAATTATTGACCACACCACCAACCGTGATCGTCGCCAGTCACGTCTTCGTCGTCGAGATGCTCTACACGACCCTCATCACGTGATACACGCTTTCCTCGAGGAAGCCACGGACGAGGGGGTGAGCGGTACACCTCCACTCCACCTCGACATCAGAGCCATGGCGATCCGCTATAAGTAGCCTCTCTCCCTCTTCCCCAACATCATCTTCTGCAGAAGAAAGGGAGGAGTTTGGTGCACACAACACGATGGTGAGAGGCTCTCTATACAAACATAGTTTTCTGTCTGTGGAACAGTTTGGTTACCTCCGTGCGTTGTGTGTTGACGTCGATGGTGATGCAGAACGGAGCGATCAAGGTGGGAGCATGGGGAGGGAACGGAGGGTCGGCCTTCGACATGGGACCTGCTCATCGTATCATCAGCGTCAAGATTTTTTCCGGAGACGTGGTCGACGCCGTGGACGTCACCTTCACCTACTACGGGAAGACGGAGACCCGACACTTCGGTGGCAGCGGTGGTACTCCCCACGAGGTTC